GACATATTACTGTTTTCAAGTTTTCTTTTATATATATATATATATATATATATATATATATTTTTTGGCTTTCTTCGCAAGGAACCTCCAAGCTTGATATGTCTATAAGCATCACCAATTCTAAGTCAATCAATGTCAATACATATTTAGTGTTGTGTGAAGTTATGTTAGAGTTCCATTTATGATTATAATCACCCTTTTTACATCCTCGCGGTAAATACAGCATCGCACTTAGTCGAGGGGAGAGGGGAGGAGGAGCAGATTTAGGAGAAGGGTGAGGCCTCGCCAACAAGATATGGCATGTTTGATAGGGAGAACAGACCGTGAGCTAGCGGAACGAGCAGGTATGTAGAAGGATGTGCTGCGAGGATCAACAACCGAGGCGAGCATTTCTAAAACTTTCTAGCTATCTACAACATGAGGGTTTACTTTGGTCAAATGATTGATGGGGTGCGATTCCATGGTACTTCCATGGTATCGCTCTATTGTTCGCCTCTTCCTCACTTCGCCTGTCCGTTAATGGTCTTAGTGCGTCGGTGGAGTCATTAGCTCGTAACAAGTAGGGGTATTCCCTGATACCTGTCTGTGGTCGTCCGTCATCTGGATATTGCCTGGAGTATTGTCAGAGATTAGAAAGACATCTTTAGATAAATAAGACTTTAGAACAAACTGACTTTTTTGTTAAAGATGATAGCAATGCCATAACCTTTTAAGACCTACCATACATTTCCCAAGTCTGAAAAAACTGTTCAGTTCATATACATATACTTTAATCACCCTTGTATTTGAAAATAAAGGGCATTTTGCTTTCTCTAAGTTATGAAAAAGAGGCTTTTCCCTCCCTTATTATGAAGTAATGCGACTATTTTTTCTCCTAAACGAATGCTTTTTACTTGTCATTTAGAAAATATTGTTTCGGATACGGCTTTTTCCCCTTTAGGACTGTGATTTTCAACCCTTTCTCTATAACTTACCTCCTCGACTGTATGTTGCTCGTCATATACCCCTTTACTACCATGTAAAACAAGAATATCTAATGTAGACACATAACAAGAAAGCACCTTTATTTCTTATATTTTGCAAAGAATGTTCTGATTAAGAAATATAATATATAGTTGTTGATAACTCGGTTTAAGAAAAGATTTTAAAAAATCGCATCAAACATTATCAGTTGGAAAAATCGCATGCTGTCTGCTAAGATCCATCACATCGAGGGTGTCACGTATATTCTTTTTTACTCACAGGGGTAAACATACCCTTGGTCAAAAAATCCCAGCTTTAGGCGAATTTGACTTAGTCATTGTCCAATACATGTACAATTATAAAAGCTTTATAATATGGTAAGTTATATTATTTTACCTCTTTTTTCATGTCTTATAAAAGTTCTTGTTTTTGATAAAGACATAGATGCTAAAAGGGAAAAATAATCAAGTGAAAGCCTTCTTGTTATACAGGTGTTTTGATTTTTGAAGATAAAAATAGTTTATAGGGGTCTTAAATGTTTTTGCTACTATAACAACTAGGGAACATAGTGAAAAATCATAGGCAAAGGATGTTATGATATATATATATATGTATATATATATATATATATATTTTTTTTTTCATTTGGTAGGACTTTGTGTTAAGATATTCAGAAAATATTAAAGAGATCGAGTATCAAGTTTTATTCAGTGCCGACGTAAAAAATATTTCTCTCTTTGAATAGGGAGATTTGAGAAAATGTATGCATGTGTTACTTAAAAAGCTGTGTCTGAATGTAAATCACTATAGTCCGACGGTTGGGGTGATCGTCTTTTAAAGATAACAACTTATCTAGTTCCATCTCTTGCTGCATATTTGTAGAAAGGCAATGACGGGGAAATCGAGAAGTAAAGTTTGGTTGAATTATACACGTTGGCAAGGTTATTTGTGTCCTTTTATAATATTTTTCTCGTTCTTGTTGAAGACAAAACAGCATATTTGTTAGGTAAATGAAACTACAGTAACCAACATTAGTGGTTACCGTTGCATAGTTCCTTTTCTTTGTATATACTTGTAGGGAGGTACTATAGACAATTTTGTGGAGGGGGAGTAAATTACTGAAAAGCTAGTCCACCTTCTGTTCTGATTCATCTTTTTCTTATGTCATCATAAAACGGAGGATCTCTAATCGATGTTTACCCTGGTCTTTTTATATCAGAAGAGAATGCACTGTATTGACGTGCAAAGATACGGCTGTCTGCATAGAGTTATACATATGGGAAAGCTGAACATATTTCCTAGTTTGCAGATTGTACAAAAATTGAGAGCTGAGGCGGGAACACTTTTTGGGAAAAAACATTGCCTCTTGAGGTTAATTAGCAAATCATAGCTGGGTCGGCACATGGGGACAGGTGGTAGATAATTAGTTGTTCAGACGGAAATAGGAGGGGGAACCCCGTTTTTGGTCTCGTGCAGATGCGTTGAAAACCCTATTAATGCTCTCTAAATAGAATAAAACCTGGCGGCTTTTCAACCTGTTAGGTAATTAACCTGTTGTATAAGCCTGAAATTTTCAAACGTATGAGATAGTGGGTATCGCATTTACATTTATACAGAAAATTTAAACCTGTTATTTTTATTTTATTTGTATTATCACCTGTTAGGTGCGTTTTTGTGAAGGTCATAATAAAGGCATATTGAGTACAACAAGAGTTTCATGATCCTTTTGACTGAATTGTATTTTTATTAGAAAGATGCCTTTGGGATGTAAGATAGCTTATCAATCGTCTTGCGAAGTTAAGAAATTTCTGTTGTGTTATTCTTATTAGAGTTGCATCTTTGTTATATTATGCATTTGTAAACATTTGTAAAGATATTGATTATAGTCTTTGAAATTATTTTTTTATATATGCATATGGAGTGAGAAATGGATATTGTCATATACATATATATTTTGTCTTATATTTACATAATGAGAACATTGATAATCTTAGTAAGGATTAAGATGGGTTTCCTATTTTGATTGGTTACACCTCAAGACGAGACTGCACCACCGCTGCCGTTACCTCTGAGCAGGAAGAGATGGTCATATTATGACCCTCGTTATATGGAACTCGGGTGATATGATTTGTATTTGTGTCTGTTTGTTTGTACTAAAGGCATATTTGAAGACCTTAATAAAGACATTGAGTACAGCAACGAATTTTATAATCCTTTTGACTGCAATGAATTCTTAATATTGAGGTGTTTTGGCGATTTAATGTAGACAACGTGTCAAGACATTTATGGATTATGATGAATTAGGGAGGGGTGATCACTCGTCTGCAGCAGGATTAATTATCGGTTCAGTTACATGTTTAAACATGGTGAATATTGCCAAAGTGTTTATACAATTGAAAATAAAGGTATGTATTGTATGACGAATTTTTATAATCTATTACAGTTAATTGTATTCTTATCCCTGGTATGGCGAGGGAGGAACAGTAATTATCTGTCATTAGCAGACCTGTGTGACCTATTTAATATTGATTTTGCTAGTTAAGTGTGTGTGTGTGTGTGTGTGTGTGAGCACCTTGTATAGTGTTTATACAATCGAAAATAAAAGCATATATTGTATAACGAGTTTTATAATCCTTTACACTTAATTGTATTCTTATCTCTGTCATAGTGAGGGAGAAGCAGTAATTATTGGTTGTTGGCGGGCCTGTGTAACCTAGTTATTATTGATTTTCAGTCATTAGGAGAGGTGGTTCCCTCGTCTGTAACAGAATCAATTACCGATCTCGGTACAAGTTCAAACATGGTGAATATTGTGGTATGGGTGGGAGGGGATAATGGTTGAGTCATCTATAGCATCTGCCTGTGTGTGAGACATCACTGACTATGGGTAATGATTTCGGTTGCGGTTATTGGTTAGTTAATTGTTTTCAGTGGTTATCTTTCTGTTATGATGTGCTATTTTGAACTGTAAGGTGTGCGTGCTAGCCATCATTAGCTATGGTCTAGTGGTTACCTTATGATCATTAACCTGCTTGTGACGCCTCGTCTGTAACAGAATCAATTATCGATCTCGGTACAAGTTTAAACATAATACACACAAGTGAAAGTAGGTTATTGATTTCCGGGTCTTAATTATGTTGTTATGGACATGTTGTGGTTTGCGGTTTGCGGTTTCGTCAAGGTCATTGGTTACGTCACGCCCACTGGTAGGGGGAGGGGAGGGAATGGGGGTGAGTCGTTCTGGTAGGTATACATCTACTTATATATATATATATATACATATATATATGTATATATGTGTGTGTGTGTGTGTGAGAGAGAGAGAGAGAGAGAGTGTATACATATATATGTGTGTGTGTGTGTGTGTGTGTGTGTGTGTGTATGTGTATTTGCAAAACAATTATATATATCTAATCATCTATTTATTTACGTTATATGTACAAAGAAGTTCTTCTATGCTGAATTTCCTTTGGTGGGAGCACTAAAAGCAAATGTATTTCCGTGAGGTTTGTAGTATGTTCTCGAACAAAGCTTGTTATCCAGTGGCCTTGAAATAAAAATGACCCATGAGTCACAGGACACGAACCCGCCGTGATTGCTGATAGGAAGATAGGAAGATAAATGAAAGAGGTTAAACAGTTAACAGTTAGAGATGCCTTGGCGTAAAATGCCCCACATTGTGTGAACTCTACATCGATGCACAGTTCAAGCATTAATCCCACGCGTCCATCAATCGTCGCCGAACGGACAGAGACGCCCGTAGACTGTTCCCACCGCGAGCAGATCAGTCTGGTGCCTTCGGCCCGAGAGACTGGCCTCGCTCGACCTCCCCTTCGGCGCCGCGTCAGTCCTTCTATATTTACTGCACACATGTTTACACCAGGATCTTATTAGTAAAAGCTGGAACATTTTCTTAATATAATATGTACTATATATTTTTTTCCTTATATCATACAATTGTTTTGGTCGAACTGTGTTGTGTTTCTTCTCTGCGTCTGGCCTTATCTGCGCTTATCAGGCGTTATCACCGAGAGGATCCAGCGCAGCCGCGACGCAGCATTCCCGGCGAGGCCCACCGCCAGGGGCTGCCTCTGGCGGCCGCCCTCCGTGGCAGCATTTCTGTCCCCCCTTCATCAGGCCGCCGGCGATAACCCTAAAGAAAGATTCGAGAACGAAG